AAAGGTTGATCAGTTTCAACATTTCTCTCCTTGAAGCAGGGGTGGGATTCAAATTTTTAACAACTGGTTCTGTGGGCATGGTTTAGGTGGTGGGCATGGCTTAGGTGGTGGGCGTGGCTTGGTGGTCATGTGACTGGGTGGACATGGCTTGGTGGGCATGTTATTGGCTGGGTGTGGTCAACTCAATATCACTCACATCGAGTGACGCATCTCCTCGCCTGGCCTCTCATGACTGGGGATGCTGCAGCAGTTGTAAGTGTGAAAAATGGTCATAAGTCACTTTTTCAGTGCCATTGTAACTTTGAATGGTCACTCCACACAAGGAAAGTACCAGCAAAGGAGGGGGAAAAAACTCCAGCGATGTTCCTGAGACAGGAAGTCTAGTCCTGCCAAGAATGTAATAAGGGTTAACGGAGAGGCAGTTTCTGTAAGCAACACCAGAATGTTTCCTTCCTGCCTTCCTTACAGGATTAGGCCAGTAATTTCTTCTAACAACCGGTTCTCCGAACTGCTTAGAATGTTAACAACCGGTTCTAGTGAATAGGTGCCAACTGGGAGAATCCCACCCCTGCCTTGAAGGCTAGCTAAGTGGCTAAGAACGTTCTCTGATTGTATAGAATATTGGAAACAGCAACTGGGAGGCACCTGTCTATCCTTTTATCTAAAAAGCTTATTAGATGGTTGAGTTTTCATGTGTTTAATGTTCACATCAGTCCACTGTTTTATTCTTTTCTACTAAAACAGTTACAACAATTTATGTCCTTCTGTGTCACGGTGCATTGTTTGTTTTTGCACTGGTTTTCCTCCAAGGAACTCAGAATGATGTATATACACCCTGTTTTTTTTTTCTTACAACAAATGTCTAAGGTAGGTTCAGTAGTAAAACAGAAAAAGACTGGCCTAAGATCAAGGGCTCATTGTTGGGTCAGATTCAAATCTTCAATCTATCTAGCAGAATGGATCACAGAATGCAATGGAAGTCTGGTTAAGTACTTTACTAAATTTATGACAATTTGAATGGTTTCTCCATCAGGCTAAGAAATGAAGAACAGCTGCTGAACAATGCCTGCAAACAATTACATCCCTTGATCTTAAAAAACAGCTGGTGGGTAGGTGGATAGATGATATATGTGTATAGCTAGGTATACCTAGATAGAGATAGGTAGATAGATAG